TTCAGTTATTATATTGTTCATCCCTGTTTGTTTGTTCTTTAATTCTTCTAGGTGTTTTAAAAACATTTCTTGCATCTTTTCGATTTTTGTCTCCATTCTTTTTCTGAGGTCCTGGATCATCTTCTCTATCAGTATTCTGAATTCTTTTTCTGGAAGATTGCCTATCTCCACTTTATTTAGTTGTTTTTCTGAGGTTTTATCTTATTCCTTCGTCTGGTACATAGCTCTCTGCCTTTTCGTCTTTTCTATCTTTCTGTGAATGTGGTTTTTGTTCCACAGGCTGCAGGATTGTAGTTCTTCTTGCTCTGCTGTCTGCTCTCTGTGTTGTATCATTTTTAAAGGTGATGATACCAACAGGGAAATTTAGTGTAGACTCATGTATTTTCAATCCAGTAATAAAATGAATCTAAATTTGTAGTCACTGAGGAAATGTTTAGAAGTGAAATATATGTCTTTTTGCTTTTATATTCTAATGTATTGTTAGATAGAATTGGATAATTCTTTCTACAAAGGTTTGCAGAAGTTGATTTAGATCTCATTAGAGGGATCTGCATTTTCTATCTTTGCATTAATGACCAATAAATCATGATTTTAATATGTAACTTACAGCTTTTAGAGTTTTACTGGCTTATTTCACTTATCCATTTCTCAATCTGTTCTATAAATTTCTTTTCACATTTTTACAACTGAAGACTCTCAAATTCGCATCTGTTGCATTTCCTGTCTTCTTATTTCTTGTTAATTGTTATAATAGAGGAGAGATTAAGTGAAAATAATTCACATTAATTGCTTTTGCAGATTTTCTCATAATTATGGTGCTATTAACTATGTGATTAGTGATATTTAATATAACCTTGGTAAAAGATGTATACCAATTGTTATAGCATCCTATTGAATTTCCCCAAGTTCTAGTTAATTTCTCTCCCTATGGCTTAATATGCTGTTCATTGGACAGCGCTGAATGACATAATTCACATGATGTGAATGGTACCTCCTGGTGTGTGTGTATGGGATTGTGTGTGTGTGTGTGTGTGTGTGTGTGTGTGTATACAAGAGGCATAGTGAACATGCATTTGACATTGGTTAATATTAATAACTTAAGAGTAGCAGTAGTGCTGTGGGTTAGTCTGAGTGCATGGGGGCTTAGCTTCTTAGTCTGCAAGGGGATAAGACTGTATCAATGAATTAATACCCTTCCCCCTAGAGGCTTCATTACCTTCGAATATACTTAATAAATCTCTTAGCGTAGATCTTTGAAAATGCAGCCTAGTTGGCATAATTCTGCTTTAAGCTGGTAAATGATTTGGACATAGGAATCCAGAGTTATGTCACAAGAAACTTATTGCTATATATGCACACACCAGCAAACACACACACACCCCCAAACTAGGAAAGAAATGAAGCCTCTGTCTATGAACATGTGAATGCAATTGAATTGAAGAAGCAATCAGTACAGCAAAATGATTATTCCTTTGTTGTTTTGTTGAGGAGGTGATTTCTTACAGTGTGCTGGGGAAGGGTAAGCAGGGAGGTGCAGTTCAGTTAGGGAGTTCTAGAGGCTTTCTTGCAGTCAGTGTGGTAGCTGCAGTGATCGTTATTATCGCTGAGGCTTTGTCCCTGATACCTGCAGGGGCTAGCCTTGGTTAAAATCAAGGCAACACCTAATCTGCTTCCTCTCCTCTGTTTTAACACTTGATCTGTCCAGTTCCTTCATTTTGCCTTCTCCTTGCTTATGGATCTCATTTTGATAAGCTATCTGGGTTTTTTTTTAAATAGAGCTGTATTTTTTAAATGTCTCAATTTTCCCTCTTCAAAATTTATTTGTACTGTGTTCCACTCTCTCATGCTCTTGTAAGCAACCTATCCTTGTAAACTATTTCTCTTCATGGTCTAAATTGAATTGCTGTGATAGCCACCAGTGCTGGAGGTTGGTTTTTCTTTTTCCTGGGCACCCCATGCACCCCACCTGTCTTTCTCTGCCCTACTCTGTACCCCAGGAGCTGGACTTCTGCAGACTGTATCACCCTGGTCTCCTTGCCAGCTTTGGGTAGGGTTTGCCAATGAGATGCCCTGGCAGGAAATCGGAAGGCCAGAGGAGTGAGAGCTGGCCATGTTTCTTCCCTGCTCCTTCCCTGCACCAGGCTGGGTTTCTGGTGGTACCTGTGTCTCTCATGATTTCGGCTCCCACTGTGCTGCCTCTCCTTCATAACTCTGGCGCACTGTGGGCTCCAATAAACCATTTGCTCTCCCTGTTCCTTAGCCCTGGGGTGATGATGACTTGTCGCTATTGCCAGAGTCTGGGTCCTTCTCCAGCCCTTGTTTCCTCACCTTTGATCCAGTGCCCCCCCACCCCTCCAGTTTACCACTTGGTCTCCTGTGTTTACATGTCACTTATGAATTTCTCAATTATAGCACTTGAGCTTGGCTTTTATTATAGTTAGTTGTGTACGAGTCTGTCTTCCCAACGTAGTGAGGGGTAGAAACATGCCTCTTTCATCTTTGAATCCTAGTACCTAGCAGACTACCTGGCATGTTAGCAGGAGCTCAGTACGTATTTGTTAAATGTATTAACAAATTAATACGACTTTTACTCCCGCAGTCTACTCCTACGTCCCAGAGCCATCCTTATGGATTTTCAAGATTCCTTGTAGTAGCTTTTAGGAATGATTAGGAATATATACCTATATATGTATATATGTATGTATATATTTCTGAGTTTCTTAACATTTTTCCCCTAAAGAACCTAGGGAAGGCATACCCTGATGGCATTACTAGGTATTTAGAGTAAATCTCAGAATTACGGAGAATTACAGCAACTTATCAAAAAAGAAACGAGGCAAAAATCACTCACTTTGGGTTCTCTCTAAGCCAAATTCACCCTGTTTGTGCTGATTGCTTGAAAGGAAATGAAGCAATTGTGATCTCATTTGTTTTGTGCTTCTTGCTCTACCAAGCTCCATTTGGTGCCCTATTGTCTCACAAGTTGCCTATTTGAGTCTTTTGAATTAAGAGTTTAGAGCAGAAGGTCCATCTGCTCTGCATGATTATTAAATTATCGTAAGACTTTGTATAAGGAGAATTTACCCTTGTGGTTTTTCAGTGTTTCCTTTTCCCTCTGCTCTAAGGAAGACTTGGAACATCAGGTTTTTTTCTTCAACATACCCTTGGACTTGAATGGACTGCAGTTACTGAGTTGTATAATATAATAGGCTTAGGAACCTTTGACTGGCAGGTGCTGAATAGAAGAAGGTTTTATTTATTCTCCTTATCTTGTAAAATGTGGTACTTAAGTATAATTGAACATGCCATAAGCCAGATCTTGGTGCTTTGAGGTTATTGAATCTCATAAGAAAAAACAAAGCACAATCTTAAAAATTACACGTTGGAGATAGACATTTTACAATCAATCAGGTTCATTAAGTAAATGCACATGCTATTGTAATTCATATATGATAGATAGTGTGCAACTGACAACTCCCTAGTTTCATTTTGAATATTCATGAGTGAGCCAGCTTCAGCCAGCTTTTAAGTAATATAATTTATGCAAGTAAGTTGTATTCCCTTCCAACAACCTCCAAAACTTTAAAATCAATTTGCCAGTAATATATATTATGTAGTGAAATTTGTTAATAAAAGCTGAGTAAGGAGATCAGTTGAAGGATGGCATTTTTAAAATGTGCATGCTTTCCATTATTTAAATGTGCAGATTTTAAATAATCAGTTAACTTTTGTGCAAAGATGAAAGTTGGCTTAAATATGAATATTTGTACAACCATATATATATTCAATATTTAATAGAAGTATGTCTAATTTCTTTGTTATAAATTTTTTTAGGCAATGTGATACTTTTAAAGATAATGGGATATATAAATTCTGAAGAGGGACTTTATTCTAACTCACACAATGGAATTAAAAGGAAATATACACACCCCTTTTGTAAAATCCATGTAGTTAAAATTAAAAATTGGATTTAGTAAATAGGGCTAACAAACTGCTTGAGTTTTTTTCCTATCAGATGACTGCTTCCTCTGGTCTTTTGAAGTGATTAGCTTGGGTTGATCTAGTTGTTATGGAGCTCCAAAGCATCTACAATATTGAGTGTCCTTTGAAAGGAAAACAGTGCGAATCTGTGAAAACAAAAGTTGGTTCAGAGTCTTAGAATGGAGGGCTAAGCTCGAGAAGGATACTGAAAGTTAAGCTTAATTAGCTTCAGGGTAAATCTGTCTCTGTTTAGGTGATGAGTCAACATGGGTAGTGTGAAACATTCATTTCAAAACAAGCAAGCAGTTTCTATTGGCTAAATGTTTGCTGTGAATTGCAAATATTTTGAAAGTCTCAAAAAAATTCTTTGATACTTTGTATGGATTTTCACTCATTAAAAATGTTTTCACCACTGAGTCTGAAGTTCTATCTTAAAATTTTATTTAATTGTGATGGAAGCTAGGCAGGCCCAGATTAAGACCTTTCAACATCTTAAATAGGGTGCCTTAACCCACGTGTACTTACAAATAAAATGATACTAACCCATAAAACATAACATTTACATGTATGTACTGGAATTAAAATAGTTGCTTTCTAATTTTCTGTTTTAAAATTCTGTAATGGTGTATAAAAATGAACTTATCTTATATTTGTATTGCCCCTGATTTGTAGCTGCTTTAAGCATCTGCTTAATGTGCCCTGAAGTGGGACATCATCTAACAGGCAAGTAATTAGCTTTGAGTCTGCTTATCAGCACTCCTTTTTCAGAGTTTAATTCTGACTTGCCATTGCCCCTTATCCTTTTTGTACCTTATTTTACTCTCTGAACTTAATGGGCATGAAAATAACTTGAGCCTACATGTGCCTTATATTGGGTTGAATTTAGGTTTACAGTTACTCAAACACCTTGAAAAGTCACAAGGACATGTGAAATATTGTGGCAAAATGATCTGAACACCTGTAAGCTATTTTTCTTAATGAAACATTTAAAAAATATATATGTTTATTTTACTCCAAAGCTATATGCCAATTTCATGGACGAACCTATTTTGAAGGAGAAAGAAATACGGTCTACTCCTCTTCTGGAGTATGTGTTCTCTATGAGTGCAAGGTAAGGAAGCTCTTCATGTGTGTTTCAAATTTCTTTCAGTTACATGAACACAGTAAATGTTACTTTAAAAATCTCACCCTTGTAATACCTTTAAAATTCTAAGGCAAAGAGAAAATTTAAGAAATTTAAGATGATAATTATAGCTTAGATGTATAGAAATTCTCATTGTTTTTGCAATCATGTAAATTAGTGGTTGTAAAATAATTTTTCCAATAAATAAAAACACTCTTTTGTCAAATTAAAGTTTTATGAAGTTGTCTTATATTTTCCAAACACAAATCAACTCCTTGTTTGCTGTTTTGAAGAAAATGTATTAGATAAAATTAGACTCAGCCTGTTCTCACTCTTGCTTTTGACTCGTGATAAAATATCACTCAGTCCAATTAAAATCGGAACAAAATTTACCTAATAAAAATTAGGTGTTGGATGGAGATGAGACTGATATTGATCTTAATTCCTTTGGGAGGAATCTTTTAAATAATTTTAAGGGGAATGTTTTATAAATGTGCTCTTGACGTATGCTTCTGAAGCAAATGTGATTCATTTTAAGTCTGCTTCTTGACCTACTAATTGAAAAACTAAATATGTTTCATAACACTTCTCACATTTACCTTTTATAAACTATGATTTTATATTCCTTGACCATAATGTTGTATTTCAAGCCATATTCTATCTAAAGGAAACTGTCTACATATAAAGTTTCTGCTTTAGGGTTCATTTACATTTGATCCTTAATTTTCTTCTTCAAATGCCTCCCGTACATGGTTTGTGGGGATGATTTAGTATGTATAGGTTATTTAGAAAACTAAGATAAGTGATTTACTCTGCTGGCAATAAACTGTGAGCATTCATATGATTAAGTGTTGGGGAAAGGAAAATCCTCAGAATTTTGCCAAGATAAGTTGAATCTGAAAAATCCAGCTGTATACCTCATGCATCTTAAGTTGGAAGACATTTGGGATAAGCAAGGCAGAGACATAAAGATGCAAAACTGTGACAGATTTGATTTCTAGAATGTGAAAGCTCTGATTTGTCCACGTCCATTATAAGGTATTCTAGCTGCTTCTTTTGGCTTTAAATAAGCTCTCCCATGATGTAGGTTACCATCTTAAAGTTAAGGGAGCTGGGGCATAGGAACACTAACACAATTGCTGAAGCTATATTTCAAGATGGATTTTTCTCCGTCAACATCCCTTCACCAATGCTGTTTTGAGTGGGGCAGGTCCCACTGTAGATATAAGGATTGGAAGGCTTGGAGTGAGATCTAGCAACACCAAGGAAATCAGAGAAATTTTACTTCAAGGAAGGTGGAAAGCTTTTATCAGCTGGTTTCTAAGTAAACTCTAACTTTGAAATATCAGCCCTAAATCTGAAAATTGTGAGGGCATTTGAAGATTCTCCACTTTGTGTGTGTGTGTGTTCTTTTCATTTGACAAGTATGTTCCATAATACTGATAATTATGATCTAAAATTTACTGAGATAGTTTCCTATTTGATTTTAAAATACCTATAAAGTGATTTTATTTTAAATTCGATTTGTGAGAAGTCTGCGTATAGGCAACTCTGCAGGTGCTTAATAAATATTGGGTGAATGAATAAATGTTACCATTTATTTGCTCAAACAAAAGAAATCACTTCCTACCCTCTAATGCTGTGCTGTCCAGTAGAAATACGATACAAGCCACACATGTGATTTTTATTTGGGCTAAATTTTCTGTATTCAAGCCCATATATCCAAAATATTATCATTTCTAATGTAATCAATATAAAATTCTTAATGAGATATTTTACATTATTTTATCATACGAAGTTGTCAGAATCTTGTAGCTAGTGGCTGTGGATTCTACAGCACAGCTCTACCAGAATTTCATAAGCTTTTGTATTCTTCACTAAATTCTTGACCTTAAGGACTCCCGTTGTTTTTTCTCCCTTCAGGCCCCTGAGCTATTTTACATAATTGTCATCTCTCTCAGGCTTCCATTTTCTGGGCTGTCAATTCTAGTCCTTCTTTGTTCCTTTATTGTCAGTTTTGTGGCCTTGAAAATGTGTCCTGGGGGGGGGTCTGTGAGTTTCATAGTAACACAGAAAAACACGGTGGTCCTGAAAATAAGATTATCAGAATGGATATTACTGTCAAACCAAGGGAAGAATAGCGTTTGACTCCACTGTATATACATGTCTTCTGACACTTTCTTTTTTTTTCCTGCCATTATGGTGACTTGGAGAAGGTCCTTTCCATTGATAAGCCAGGAAGAGGGAGATATTGAAATTACAATTTCTTCAATAAAAGCAGTACTTATAGAAATTATATCTAAAAAGCTAAGCTATTGAGCAGTATTAAAACGGAAGCCTTCAAGTTCCAACGGTTATTTTATTACTTATGTATTGGTAAGCATAGTATAACAGTTAATGACCCTCGCTCTTAAAGAGACTGGAGGTTGACAGTATAGAAGCAAAATGTTTGCTTCAAGGGCAGTGCTGTTACATTTATCAGAAAAGTATTCCGTTCTGTATTTTGGTTTCTCTTTGAGAAGGGTTTTATCTACTTCGGTGGCTAGAACTGTAATCGTTTTACATTGATTTATTCATTCATTCAGGAAAATTTTTCGATTGCTTATTATATGCCAGAAAAAATGCAAGACATTCATGCTCAAGAGACATAAATCCTGCCCTCATTTTCCTTATAGTTTTGTGAGAGATCCCCAGAGTTCCTCATCACACTCACTTGGGATAATCTATAACAGTTTAGGAAACTTTGAAATGAGAATGTTTAAAAAGCCTGGGTTTTATTTATTGTTTTTTCCAAAGTGAGCTATTGATAGAATTCAAGCTGTATCTTTGACACAGTTGTCATCTGGATGTGCAAAAATATGTTGTAAACTAACAGAATCTTTCAGGATTACCCTGATGTTTGGAAATTGAAGGCATGGCTGCAGTGTGGCATGCTTCCATTCCCAGAGCTGCTTGTCCATTTGAAAGGCTTTCCAGTTGTCATTTAATGTCATTTTGCAAGTGAGTGTGTGACCTGTGCAGAGGTTCTCAGGGTGAAAATTTTACTCTCATGTTCGAAGAAATTTCTTGGATGTCGGATCTGGAAACTTTTGAGTTATTCCTAATTAAGAGGTTTGAAGCTTTTATTTTCTGTTTTCTGACAGGACCAGACCATGAAGCTGGTTGAGAGTTCAGGCTGTCCAGCTCTGGACTGTCCAGAGTCTCATCAGATTACCTTGTCTCATAGCTGTTGCAGAGTTTGTAAAGGTAAGGCTTGTCTGTAAAATAAAATTTATGTGCATGAGTCATTCTAAGAGGCTACTTCAACTGACGGGAAATAGAACTTTTTATAATCAAGTTATTTCCAAAGACTATCGAATTAAAATCGAGATGCTCCCATGCATTTCTGCAGGGTGTATTTTACCTGTCTCAAGCTCTGGATTTCTATACTTCTCTCTGTGTACTTGTTCTGAGTCAGCATGGCATTGTTGAAAACATTTCCACAACAGTGCTGAGTTATTTTATTGTTTCTTTTTTTTGCCGGGGGTGGGGGGCGATTTCCTTTCTTTTCTCTTCAGTCTGTTTTTATAATTGTCTGAGCATAATTCCCATGTTGTTCAAATCCCTTTCTTCACAATTCCACTCTCCTTCACTGATAGGCTTCTACACTACCAAGAAGAGAGAGGCCATGAGACATGCATTGCTTATTCTGTGTTGCCTCTATGATGATAAGCCTATGACCAATAAGTAGAAGGAACTTAGATTTTTAGTTCAGTATAAGAAAACAGTAAAACTTGAGGTATTCAGAAATGCAGTGGGCTGCCCAGGAGGCAGTGAGTTGCCCATCACTAAAGATTCTTAAACTTGGTATTTTGTTATAGATTTAAGTATTAAACTAAAGGATTAATTATATGGAATTTTTATGTCCCCTACCAATCATGAAATTATATGTGCCTTCTTGTGTTATCCTGAAATTATGTGTTTGTGAATCTGTCTCCTTCATTGGATTTTGCACCTTGAGGGCAGGGCTGGGTCTTTATATTCATCTCTATATTCTTGGTACCTAGTATGACACCTGGGATGTAGCTGAGACTCATAACTCATGTAGTTGGTACTGTATAACAGTGCCTTAAATGAGCTACTAGCACTTGTTTTAATAATAGCCTTTATTGGTGCAAAATAAAACTTAAATGGAAAACAGTAAGAAAAAGAAACTTTATAAAACATATACTATTTTGTTTCCTTTTAATCTCATCTATTAAAAAGGAAACATAAGATCCCTCTCTCCCATTTTTAGGAGCATGGTACAGTTTTTTCGTTTTCTTTTTAGCTATTTCTTGCATCCATTCAATTAAGACGGCCTGATTGCTTCCATTTCTTTTTAAAGAGCCTTAATACATTACCAAAAGCAAGCTAAGAATGGAAAAGCTAGCTACAAAACTGGTTACATTTAAATTGCCTATAGTTTTAAAAATTAATATGTTTACACAGCCCACTCAAAATATCAATACAATGACAAAATATACTGTGACCTACACCCCCTCCACCTGAGATCCTGATATCATTGATATGTGACCAGCCAGAGCCAGAACCAAACTCAGGTTTGGCTTCTCATTGCTCAGAAGTCAGTGTTCTAGAGACAAGGATTGGTGGAAAAAGAAAGATGTATTATTCAGGAAGCCGGCAACCTGGGAAGATGGACTAGTGTCCCCAAAACCATCTCCGAGTTGCCAGTTAGGGAAGAAGAGTTTGTAAAGGAAAAGTTTCAGAGGTGTGCAGTAGGGGGCTATGTGTGGAGCAGCACAGCCTGCTTCGATAATTACCTTGAAATTGGGTGCAGTGGTCTGGTCCGAGTCACCTTGATTGTGTAGGGAGAGCAGTTAATCTGTAGCTGTAGGCTTGAAATGTCCTGTAGTTCCTGGAATTTCTCAAGCATGCAGAAGGTTATTCTTTAAGCATTTAATCATATTATAGTGTATTCAGGCCTAGGTCATAGATTTTTCTCAAAATGGAACTGGGGCTTCCAATATGGAGTTGCCTTTGCTAAGGCAGAAGCTCAAATCCCTTTTCCAAATTCCTGAATAAGTGTTTCAGAACCAGATTTCAGATATATGGGATGGAGCCTTGGTATCACCTTGAAAAACACTCTTCAATAAATTATTTTACTCAGCCTGGATTGAGAACCTCTGGTTTAGAACTGGAACTGAAATTGGACAAGTTGGCCTTTCTTGAAACATTTAGCACCATTTAAAATAAAGGTTACTTCCATTTCTGACTTCAAATAAATAGAATAAACAAATGAGTCCTCCTGGTATTCTCCGACTTTTAAACTAAAAAACGTCAAGTTTTGAAGGCTTAAATTTTGAGTCAACTCCTACACACATATTGTGACAAATTCATTTGTAGTAAGGTTGGCCTCCAGTTTCCAGGCCTGTCTGCCTAGTGCTAAAGATGCCATGTTCACATCTGAAAAACTAAATTGTTCAACAACAGTTAGTAAAATATTCCCTGAGGGCAGAGCATGAGATTAAATTGTTGACCTTTCCACTGGAGGCTCGGCCGGTGGTTGGAAACCAAGCTGTGCACCGAAATAAGGCTCCAAATTTCTAGGCACCAAGTCAAATCCAGCCAGGGCTGTTTTCTAGGTACCCTGCTGTCTTCCGTTGTAGCAGCTCAGGGACAGTGTAGCAGGAAAGTTCTTTTTACTTTTTTCATATTTGAGAACTCTTTTAAGGAAGATTAT